TGTAGTCGCTCCCCCCCCTACCCGAAAGTACCTTTGCTCCCATGCATGCTGTTCTACGATAATCACACCCACAAAACAGGGTAGGGTTTAGATAGACTGAATTTTCTAAACCCTATTCAGAGTAACAGTTCTGGTTCCAAATATACCAAAATGAACCAATTGAGACAAATCAGCTGCAAAGGGGTGTGTTTTAGTGGGTTTCAGGTAGGCTAGGTTTTTCCAGTAGAGATAGTTTATACATGTATAATATCCACATACATACATGCGTACCCTACACTTCTTTGCAATATTTGGTTCTCCATTGGGCCTTCTTTTTTTTTCCAATTTTTTCATAATGTGAAATTGCAGGCAGTGGTGCAAGTACATGTATGCCCAACAAAACTTCTTCGCATCTGTTTAGCAACTGCAAGTTACTTGATTACGACAAGGAAAGAAAGAGAACATTTTTGCCCCTAAGAAATTTTTCTGTTTAGAAAAAATAAAATGACTCGCCCTCCACAGGGTGTACATGTAGATAAAATGTGCCAGTAGGTCACTCCAGCCAGTGATCGATCTAATGTACGTACAATGTACAGTGTTTTTCTCTAACAGGTGTATGTGTACACTGTTAATGATAATTTCTAAACATCTGTTTATGTTTTACATGCAGCAGTATTTTCCACAAAAGAGCCACAATTTCTAACAACTGCCCTGAATTTGTGCACAAACATTTAACACATCAAGCTCATTATGAATTGTTCATTATGAACGGTACCCTACACCCTGACAAAGAGCACGGATACAATGAAACCTGTACATAACAATTTCAATGGTGCTTGCAACTTGGTCGGATCTTTTGTCAACCAACTGAATGCATTTCCTGCACTTCATGTGCATGAACATGAACTGTGACACTGGGCTGCATGGACAATGTACATGTCACTACGGTCTGCACAATGTACAGTATGTATTATGCTTCCAATAACAACCACAACAAGCACGCCAAAGCAGCATGCATCGGAACCGGGCAATAAAAAAGGGGGAGCCAACATCATCATGCAGCCAGGAAAAAAAACCTGTCTGTGACCTACTACAAACTCCTTCCACTCCCACAATATATTTTGAAATGGATTCCCCAGTGTGCGCTATCTGAAGCCATGTGTTTTCCACTAGACCCAACATTCTGAAAGGAAATGTGAAGAGTTGTTCACCAGTGTTGAAGATCTGTGTTGAAAATGAGGGTTTGTGAATATTGAACAGAAACATTAACTGGTGGCAACATACATGTACACGTGAGGATTTAAGCTCACACACCATCAATTCCCAGCGAAAGACTGTGGTTTTTTTCAACTGTTTACTGCACACATTGCAAGTGCATTTTGACTTTGAGCTTTGGACCCGATGTCTCGAGGGACAGTTTTGTGGGGGGGGGGGAAATCTTGATGGCTTCCCGGATTCTTCAGAAGCATTGGTGTCACTGTAAACCACATGCCTTATGTACAGGTATACCCACCATACAAGCCTTCATCTCTTACAGAAGCATTCGCTTTGGTTCACACAAAACCTACAGGTTCAAGGAATTGTACATGAATTATTGAACAACCTAAGACAAGCAGAATTATCTACAAACCTGCTAAGTAAATACCAATTAAGACAACGGACACGGGGTTGTCTCAGAATCACCATTAGTAACCTAAAATACTGAATTTAGTTACCAAGGTTATCTCTCACACAACTATGGCTAATACACCTAGCATCGGTACCTGCATATTTCATGTCAACAACTGATATGACTGAAGGTCCCTCATGGACAGTGACAATTTTTCTCAATGAAACTATCTGAAGATTTAGCCCCAGTCATAATGAGCTTTGGGACAATGAAACAGCATTGTTTATGGCCGCTTTTGACCAGTAAAAAAAATGACAGGGCAAAACATAGGACCACTGTTGACTAGGAAAAAACTGACAGCCCCCCCCCCCAAATCACTGTCTGACTCTGAGCCTGCAACTTTTGCCAATGTCCACAGAAACTGCTCTCCATGGGGCTCATCTCTTGGAAGTACCAGTAACAGAACTGTGTTAAGCACGGGAAAGAGTTGCTCAAATGAGAAAGAAAAGGGCATACATGTACACAATAGTTAAATGTAAACACTGTTTACTTCATGTGTAGGTAATGGTTATTGCAGGGCAGGAACTTCATGGCGGCTTCGGAGGCAATTGCCTTGATGCCCCTGGTCTGTGCCTCAACGCCCATTGAAATATCTCCGTAGACAAGATGATTTTCTAGCACAAGTGCCCTTCGCAAATATTGCCTTGCCTCTTCAAGAATGAAGTTCCTGCCCTGTTATTTGACTGGTCTCTGCTTTGTATGTACATAATGTAAATTTCCCGCTCAATTTTTACTTATTTGCAGCTCAGTTTCCTTCTCTCGGGATCTCCTCCACCTGTGTTTCATAAAGCTGATCCACTCTTCAATACGGCATTAATCCACCTACCCCCTCCAATAAAATTATGCATGCTGATCATCACACGAGCTGTCTTCGCACAACCTCCTGACATGAATTGCGCATACATACAGTACATGTGTGCACATTACGTGAGCATACAATGTGAGCTGGAAAACTGACACGCCTACATTGTACATGTACATGTCCTAACATCAAGAGCATAAATTGAACACATGTTCATCATGTCCATGAACATCGCACCAACGGACTGCATTAGTCTGCTCCTACAAGTCTTCGTTTCATACTTCTCTGCAATCCAAGCCCAGAGGGCTCGGTTTTTCTGTTAAAAAGAATGGAGCCCTTTCTGACAAGGAAGAACCTGCCTGCCCAAGTATGCCTTCAAAATACATGTCATGCAGTCTTCTTCCATACATGTACATCACGCAGTACAGTGCATGTATGACTGGGGCCAAGGGGGACATACAAGTAGTGTCCAAATGTGTGGAAACCACACCACAAAAGATGAAGAGTATACACTCCAGGCAGCACTAGGGAACCTTCAACCGTACTCAAACTCCACCTGGGGCTTTCGTAGGATTCTTTGGGATTTAGGAAGGAAGAGCGCTGGTATACATGTACATGTATTTGCTTCATGGCGGGGGGAGGGAGCCTTGACATCCCCTGATAGTTTCAGGATGTTTTTAAGGAGAACATCGGTTGATAGGTAGAATGCACAGTGTTTCACGAGACCAGATCAGCTTAATCTCTTTTGAATGACTGCAACGCACGAATATAAGGTGTTACATATGGCCCAATGGTACACATGTACTGTACGTACATGCACATACATGTACCACCTGATACATTCAGCCCAAGGACATTTCAATCTCCATACTTTCCTTTAACCATACTGTACATGTATGTAGGAACACCTGTGACCAAATCTTACACAGTGAAATTCAGTGCGGTCTTGCCAGCATTCAAACCTTATCTACATGTACGTGATCCGAGTCAAAAGTACATGTAGCAACTTGTGGGTGGAAGGCCTTTGAGAGAATCTTGCACTGTGTAGGTCTAAATCAGTTTGAAGGTTCCCTCAAAATTTCCCACCAATACACGTATATGGTCTGATTTCATGTACATGTGGTCTACATCTATGTCAAATCAAGGAGCTTAATATACCCTTTCTCATTCAAAACAAGTTACCCAAAATATGGCCTTTGGACTCATTTTGCGGGATACGGTCACATTTGGTTAACTACATGTACAGCAAATGGCAGACAAGAATAAAGCCAATTCAATTTGTCTGCATGATTTTTGTATGCACTCACATGTAGTCTCGGTCTCAAGGAAGTACAGTGCACACGTATGCAGACAATGTGCAAACATGCAAGTCAGTACAGAGGCTGCTTGAACAGTAGTCGAAGCAAGGCTGTAGTGTAGCATTGTGGCTGGGAATAATCACCTACATTGTACATGCATTCATACAAAGTCAACAGGCCACCTCCACACTGAACCAGGAAGTGGCAACTAGAAGTTCCTCCCAAATCACTGCAGAGGTAATGACTAATGGGTTTCATACACCTTTTCTGGTGGCTGCAAATACACTAAAGCCTACAGACAAAACATGCTTTTTTGTAACATGTTTTTGGAAGCTGGAATTATGGATGCCAAATAACCTGTACAATGAAACTGGTGATCAAGTGATCAGGTGATGTGGCTGCTACCTGTACACGTACCGTCCAAAATGCATTATGCCTCTCCCTAATCATGTCAACTTGTCATGTACACCATGTATGAATCAAGTACAGTAAATTCAAGAGTTCTACCTGTATGTCAAAATCATGTACAGATATGTTGTTGATCATAATATGCAGTGCACCACATGAAGATTTTGTTATTTGGGGACCCTGTTCCTATTGGAACAGAGAATTAGAGTTTAGTTTTTTTGGACCCACCAAAGCAATGATGGGGACCTCATGTTGAATAGCTACAGGCTTAAGTTTGTGGAAAGAGGACCTGGTTTAGATTTTTGAGGGCAATTATGGGGTGAAAATTGTCAGTTTTGCTGCTAATACACATGGCACATGAAGGAATAACTCAGGTAGTTGGGAAAAAATTCCATATATGGATGTCACTTGACATCCTGTGCACAAACTCTATGACCGATCTGAAAAATTCTAAGTGTTTTCACGACTTAGATTTTTCCTTTCCAAATTGAACTTTCTGGACCTGTTTTTGCTTTCTGATGGCTAATAGGTTACTGGGGAATAATTACTGGCATCCGTATGTGGAACTCTTTCCCATGGTTGGTACGGTCAAAAAGTAAGATTTTCTCACAATTTACAATGTTAAATTCACTAAAAACAGGGTAAGCATTATAGAGAAACATTGCCTTTGGTTGCACTTTTTCAAGGACTGACCTGTGTCGTAAGAATAATAAATATGGAGGGGTCCTAAACTACAAAATCAGCAATTCCCCTTGGGCATGTTGGGAAGACGACACATGACCGAAGCCAGAGGTAGAAATTAATTGTAAACGTTAAAAAAATGCAAATGCATTTCAATATTTACCTCGTTGTGATAGTTTCTTTGTGTTGATAATTTTTGCAGCAAACTCCTGGTTTGTCTTTTTACGTATGCACCGTTTTACGACACTGAACGCTCCCCTGTAAAAAATGATAAAAACCACACTCTCAGATTGAGGAACTGCACGCGCGACATGGAGCACAATATAAAATATCGGACATGTCAAGACAGTCACCATAACCAATATTATCACCGTTAAGTCATCATGCCTATCCAGGAATTCCAGTATTTGATAACATGGGGGTGGAGACATTATTAAACGTGACAAACCGGTGGGAAATACTTACTTTCCGAGCTCTTCCTTCAGTTCATATTCGTCTGAAAATCGTGTACACACATCCTGTTGGTGCAGCGTCGTCGCCATGTTGGAAAATGAGTGATGAATTTTGTACTGTACCTTTACTGCACGCATGCACAGAATGAGCGGCCGAACTGTGCGCGTACGTAAGAGACGTGTGTTTGCTGTGACGTGATTGACGTGTTATGATCAGAGGGGCGTGGTCCGAAAGCACTGAAAAAGATGAAACGGGAAATCAAAATATCAACTTCGCTGATCAAATATGGATATTTCAACCAAACAAATTCACAGCTATCCATTCACAACAAAGTTATATTGTTCCTGTTGTCTTGTCAGTAAATTCCAGAAACGATCTTATTTTTAGGAATCATTCAACAATGACGATTTACCACTCTTAGTGCTGTCATTTCTTAACCCTACATAAATTCTGTTCTGTAATTTTCTCCAATTTCTTCTTTATCGCAAGACAGTGACGTGACCCGCCTCCGAAAGATTGAACTGGTGATGTCGCCGGATTTGCAGTGACACGGATCTGTGTGCTGTCGTTCTTACTTTCGTCAAATAATCAATCATTATCTTTCGAATCAAACAGTCCTGCTTTTCTAGAACAATTAGTCAGTTTTTACAGTGCAGGAAGTTACTGCAACTTTCGTAAATGGGGACCTTTATTTTGAGGATTAAGATGCGTAGTTTTGATCGAGAGTTTTTGTATAATTTAGTCGTAGCCAAAACCAACTTTTCCGGGCATTTAGAACTTAAACGGGGAAAATAATTTTATTTTTTTAAATGTAAAAACTCAAAAAAAATTTTTTTTAATGTAACCTTTTATGGCCTTTCTGGGGCGAGGCTACATTTTGAGACTTTTACACACTTTGGGAAGAGAAAATGAAAGAGAGAAAAAACACCTTATCTCCCATTTTCCCCCCTTTTAAAAAATATTTTTGGCTCCTTTTATTTTAGGAGGCATGGCCCGTGATGCCCAATCCGTCCTTGCATAATTATTTGTTAACCTGTGTTCCTTCATCCATGTTTAGACGAGCGAAGAAATGAAATAATGCATGCGAACCTGTGAAGGCTTACGACCTAGTAGGCAATGTGATGGCGACACTCCACCTATCGAGTTTTTATGAGGCAGTTATTTCAGTACGTGTAATAACAGGAAGCTAATCAGGTGTATGGATGGCAGAGAGCATTTCTTGTCACAGCAAACCTTCCTTCATCTATGCATTTTTTTTTCCATTTCCGAACGGATGTAATAACCCAACGTCCTTGTGCAGTATTTTTGCAATACTGGCGATTTACAACAGCGCGCCTCCAAGAGTTTGCAAGTGCGTTGACAAATCACAATGCACGAAATCTGTCGACCCTCTATCCCCGACATAAAGGCAAGATGAAGTGAAAGTCCACCAATTCAATTAACTATCTGAACCATGCAAATTGTTTCTTACGAATTCTTTGTGCATGACTGTTATTATTTTCATCTCGTTCATTCGATCCTTACATCTATCTCATCGGTGTCTTTTCTTTTGTGTAAATTCAAAATACCAACAATAACATTATTAACAATGAAATAGAATTATTCATTTTTGTAACAGCATTATTAACTGTTTAAAAAAAATTCATCACAAAATGAAAATAAAATGTGTAAACTAAGTTCAACGGAGTTCCAGATAACTAGACTTTGTTACCGTGTGGAGAACGCAGAAAGCGCCCCCTTTTGGTTAAAAAAATGACTGTTGCATGTATACCGAACTACGTTTGCAAGCATCCAGAAAACTTTAGTTATACATCAGCCGTCGACAGAATGTTCATAATATCATGTATCTCAGGATATATGAATACTGTTCAAATTTGGAATTCTGTAAAGGAAAACGACTCAGAACATGTGTATATAAAAAATGATATCTTATAAAGACAAATTCAATATTATAGCCCGCAATGAACATAATAAATTTCTATGGGGCAATGACATGAACTACACGGTATATAGGACTTACTTGACCATAGCAACAACAGGGAGGACACTGCCCAACAACACTGTGACTATTTATTACAGAGAACTCAATATGATGAGTACAAGTCCGAGCGCTATCATGAACGTATTGAGGAAGAGTTCGAACGCGTGACAATTCTCTAAGGATATTGTACATCGGCACTTGTACATTTCCAGTTATGTAAGTACATGAAGTATCGAAAAAACTAAGAACATGAAGAATGCGTTGGCTAGACAAACTAGGATTTGACGAAATTAAATTCAAAACATGTTTGTCAATGAACGACATGTTTCTGAAGCCGTTTCTTTAACGTTGACATAACCGGCGCTGCATGGTCAGGTGGAATCGCAAAGTTGGAGCTCGGAGACGCTCAGCATTCTCAGTCTGTGCTAGTTTGTTAGCCTACTAGTTCTACTACTAGGCCATGTAGTTTGGCCGTCATTGTCACCATTGTTGTTTCAGTAAATAAAGTAAACCCAATAGCAGTGAATAGTAGGCCTACTACTGCTAGAATGTTGGACATCCCAGTCATAGGCCTACAACTTACAAGGGACATCTCGTACCCCGGACAACTCGTACCTGGGACAATTCGTACCCGGGACAATTCATACCTGGGACAACTCGTAACCCGAGAGAAAATTGCATACTGTCATAGCTTGTGGAGACATCAATAATAGAATGACATGTCATATCGGATAATTAAGCCTTTTTGAAATTGTTGCGTGGTAGAAATATTAACCAACTGAGAAAGAAAAAAAATATGGAAAAGCATTTCACGTTTGCTTAATTTTGCTCTCTTTTTAAATATTTGTCGCTCTAAACCTCTTTGCTAACCGAAAATTCTGGCACTTCAGAAAGCTGTCGTCCAGCCAACGGCATCCAGATCTTGCCTTCCATACTTTCAAAGTTTTCAATGTAACTTATAATCTAAAAAACAGTAAATCAATTTTGACATGATTTTTTTATGTATATCCAACTTCAACCGATTACTCAAAACAAGGTTTTGGGGATCATTCCTCATTTAGCCTCAGTAGGTCACACATTTTTTCTGGGTACGAGATGTCCCAGGTACGAGTTGTCCCGGGTGTGAAATTTTGGGTACGAGTTGTCTCGGGTACGAGATGTCCCGACTCCGTAATACTATTAGCATAGTGTTGAAGGTAAATGTACATCGAGGCCTATGTTGTTGATACATGTAGCCTAGGCATTCTTGCGGTTGGCATGACGTCACTGCGAACATTTAACACCGGCAAAGGGTCAAATTTACCCTTCATGCTAGGCCTGTGCAATTATGTACAGAGCTTCCCAGATGTCCAACTGACAAACAAATGAATCACATTTTGTTTTTTGAAAGTTGTTTTTTTGGCTGTCCTATATATCTCTAATTAACACTAATTAATTGTGTAATTTCAGATCGTTTCTAGTTTGGTATTTTAAAATTTTATGCACACAATTAAATTTTTATTCATAGATTATCATTTAAATTGGCACTCACCCATCCACCATGTACGATCGAGCGCCACGGATGCTGACCAAAGGTCAGGAGTCCACGCCAGCCACTGTTGGGCCTGGCAGCTATGAACCTGAGGCACCAGCGCCGTCAAAACTCAAAGCAGGTAAGGATTGCTTAGAACACCAAGAAGCTGCCAGAAGTGTAGTTTTTGCAGTTGTGTTATCTAGCATTAACAAACATCACAAGCGTCAACACACACAAGTAGCTTCAACAAAGCGTCAACAACTTGAAAATACCCTCTAAAGATTTAAAAGTTGTTTTATCATATTGTAGAGACTCTAACACCTGCCACTGTGGAAGAAATATGCTTTGTTAACACTCGACGCTTGTTGATGCCTAATAGCATGACCGAGTTGTATGATAGGCTTATACATGTACCAGCAATTGTGAAATTTGGACACCGTGAAATATAGCGTTCATTGAACACAGTACACACGATACTGTGCAGGGAAGTAAGCTGTGTAAATATGAGGCTTGAATTTTGTGTAAAGTACTAGTGAAAGAAACCAAATTTAACAGGGAAGTGAATTTCATATGACACAGTTTTTCCTCAAAGGAGGAACCTTTACTTTACGTGTAAGTCTTATGTAAAAAACATTACTCCAACTTTTGGTGATGAAAGGTACTCCTCACATGTTAAGAACCACTTCTGTTCACAAAGTTATGGAAGCGTTTGAGTTTTTTTTCTCTGAAAAGCATTATAACCCAATCTGTAAAATTGAGATTTTTGGTATTTGAGATCTATACTTTCAAGGTAATATGCATATGCATAATAACAACTAGTGAGCTTCCAACCTAGAACTAGTTTGTTCAAAGCATTCCCATTTTTATGTTGTAGATGGCTATGCACCCTTTTCTTCCATGACGACACGCGAGACGTTCCTGGTCGTTCACGACAGCGTCATTGCCGCACCCGGCCCCGGCCACTATGACCACATGAGCGATTTGCGCATCACGGGTGGCCACTCGCTGGCCAACAGGTCCAGACGGTTTGAGGAACCCGTCTCCAAGACCCCCGGCCCGGGCACTTACAACCTGTCCAAGAGGGGAGATTGGATCAAGAAGACGGGGGTCCAGACCCAGGAAAGGGACGGAGATAAATCTGGATCGGTTAGAAAACTTTCAACATTTGCATACTTTTTTATTTTGTTGGGTTTTTCAATACAAAGTCCAGTGCTGGAATTTGCTGCTCACTGAAGTAGGCTCGTATTGTTTTTTTTGTGAGGCTAGGTCTTGTGCATGCTGCCTACGTTTTTTGTTACACTCTCAGATGGGAAACTTTCCTGCTTGGATCACTTTTAACCAAATGGGGTCAAGTTTGTGCAGGGCATTGTTCAAGATCAAATTTTACTTTCTGTACAATTTTATTACACATGGTTTATGCATCAGCATTTTTTTTGTCCAAGGCATAAAATTCAATTCAGTTGAAGAAAGCTAACTCATTTCAGAATTTCTCTCTCAAGATAACAGCCCATGAATACTAGTAGATGTCAACAAATTACCTGAATTTGTTTTTGAAAAACCTCTTGGGATGTATGGAATTCTTATATCTAAAGATTAGAGGGCGTGATTTCCATACTATTTGTATTCTTTTTTTGCCCCCGTAGTTGGTAACAAGCAGAATCCGCTACTCTCGCAAGCCCCAAGCGCCGTCTATCCCCACGCCGGGCCAAGCCTACGGTTACGAGGAGCATGAAGATGGGACGCTGAAGAAGCAAGAGCCGCCACAAAGAGATGCAACGATAGGACCAGCGTACTACGCCCCTCCACACGTAAGAGCACTGGCATCCATATTGTAGAAGACGGCGGTGCCGTCAGGTGATAAACTGTGGATTGCACACAGATTGTGTTCATGTACATTTCAAAATTTCAGACGGTTGGAAGACACACCATCTTAGGTCACGGAATCTTAAAGATAAGCTTCCCAGAATNGCACTGTATGCTCAGTGCTTGTCCGAGAGCTTGCGGAAAGAAAACCTCACAAGCTTACTCTGGTGGGACTCGAACCCACGACCTCCTGCTTACTAGGGCAGATGTCTTAACCACTCGACCACCGAGCTTGCCGGGGTCGGCTGGCCGGTCCAAGTCAAGGGAAGCAGTGGGTACCGCGAACCATTTTCTCCCATTCTTTAGATACATGTAGTTCCCTCATTTGGTGAATCTACAAAATCCCCAACTTGCTCTCTGTGTTGCGTAAAACCTAAAGTCACGATTATTTCATCTCTGAACTTGTTAACACTTCTTTCGTTTTTAATTGGATCCCAGATTAATACCAAGACAACCAGCAAGTACAAGGGGGTCCACTTTGGGAGGCTGACCTCGAAGCGGATGGACTTTGACGGTCAGGGAGGCCCAGGCCCGGGCGAATACGACCCCTTCGCTCCAGTTGAAAAGAACCTGGAGCTCCTGAATGCACCAGGTCCATCGAGAAACACGTCTCGAGCATTTGAGTCCAAACTCCCGAGGTACCACGAGGTCATTGTCCATCAAGAAGAGAAGAAGGTAGGCCTTTTTGAGAGATGCAGGCCAGTGGTTTAAAGGCATTTGACTCTTTAGAGTTATCTCAGTTCCTATCCTGCTTGATGCTCGTGATGTTGGTGTCCTTGAGCTGGCTACTTTATCAGAATTGCAGTGATATTGCTTTCCACAGCTCTTTTGTAGAGTGAAAGCAAGGTGCACAACATTGACAGTTGCTGGTATTTTATACTTGTATTTAAATGCTTAGATGTGTATTCATTCAAGAATGTGATTTTGATTTGGTTAATAACAGGCTGTCCCGGGACCAGGCAAATATGAGATTAACAGTCAATTTGATAAGAGGCCACAGGCTGTCAACACAGAGGGTATGGAGGTCGATCATCCGCCGTTTATGTCACAGTCAAAGGTAATCATTTAGATCATATCCTGCCTCAGTGTAGTCACTTTCTTTGATAAGAGAGGAGAGTTTTAGGCAAAAATTCCTATCTTCTTGAGAATGGAGTGCAGTGGCCCGCTCATAGAAGTTCAAAGCAAACATGACTCATCGTGTGAGTTTGAGTAATAAGTAGTCAGAGCCCCTTTTGTGTTACAGGCCTTCAAAGGAATCTTAAACCGTGGACATCAGTAGGAACCATTAACTGTGGACATCAGTACGAACCCTTAACATGTCCCTCACAGAGCATCCAGTTTCATCAAGATGCCAAAAAGACTGATACGTAAAGACAAAAAGCTCACCTTGCTCTTTCTGATGCAAACTGAGACAAAATTACTGAATAAAAATCGACCTCGTGACTCATCTTCAGAGAGTGAGTCACAAATATGATATCATGAACCGTGCAGTGACACATTGCCGATGTTGGCATTTGGGAAATGTAAACACCTTGGAATTCAATCAATTATCTGCCTTTTTTGTCACATCAACACATTGGTTCCTGTTGAAAACTAACTTTTAGGTGATTTTTATGGGTATTCTGCAGCGATTTTTGGACCAGAGGCACAGCGCTCCTGCACCGGGCACCTACAACGATCCACGGCATGCCCTTGAAGCACTCGGCAAGATCCGAGGGTTGAAGAGAAGTCCATTCGGTCAGACAGCGGTGCGATTTATGCCTCAGCCTCACATCCAGAAAACTCCAGGTATGGTCACTCAGTTCAAATTCATTATCCTACAAATCAGAGTCATTTGCTGATTAATAGAAAGTAAGAGTTATAAACAGCAAGTCTGATGAGCTAAAGCCTAAAGGTAGTGCAATGTCAACAACAGTTTACTTCTACGTACATTACGTGTTCCAAGATTTTGCTAGTAATTTGGCCTTGTTAGTTTTATTTTGTTATTCATGGGAATCAAGGTGACTACAGAGGGAAGTTTTAGTTAATGACAGAAACATAAAAACCAGGATCCTTTGAACGAACATCGCATTCAAGGTTTAAGAATCACACTGAACCACCAAACTGTCCATTTTGCCAAGAGGACTATTTATATGGAGGGCAGTTACTGAGTAAATCAGAAATACAATCGAACACCTGTATAGCAAGGTTTTCAGGATTTTACACATTCCGTTTTAAACAGTAACTGCTTATCATCATTACAGTTACCCAACTATCATCAGGACTTGAAAACAAATAATGGCAAGAATTGGGGCATAAATCTGTCCTTGTTGTAAGCAGGATGTGATTGATATTAACGGTAACGTTGTCATCGGGCTTTGACTGAAGTGCTATCATGTTCTGTTTCTTTTGTTTTTCCTAAGGACCCGGATCGTACAGTTTCAGCGGCCTGGCTGGCAACAGCCTGCGCAAGGCCTACATGGAGAGCACGAGGCGCGGGGCCTTCGGCTCGACGTCTGTCCGCATCAAGCCCATCACCAAGCGGGAGGACACGGCCCAGCCGGGCCCTGCCCACTACCAGGTCAAGGACCGGCCACATTACAGCCGCTACTCACAGAATGTCAGCGCCAACTTTGCCTCGCAGACAGAGAGGCTGCACTCACCACCGCCAGTCATCAAGGTAATTTTTTGTCCCATTGGTTTTTTCCCTCTCTGGAATACGGTTCACTTGGACAGGTCAAAACATTTATGCCTTTTAGAAGTTCTTGGCTAATCCAGGGAGATATCTGGCTGTGTTCTTGAAACCTGCATTCATGTACCGTAGTAAATCACAACCCTATTGGTTGAAGAGGCATGTACCACGCACCTACCACCTGCCCACAAAGTGGTGCCATCACAGTAATGCCTTGCAGTTCTGGTCACCAAATCAGTCGTAAGTGAAACTTACAACTACATTGGAAGTTTCATTCAAATTCTCTTCTTTCTCAAAGCAACCAAGACAGTTTTTGAATCATTTTGTCAAGATGCCGAATTTCACCTTGTGAACAGTTCAGTTTGATGGCACAAGGTAAAGTTGGAGACAGCGTGTTTTAGCTAATGGCTGTGTCTAGTACAGTGAGTAGATACAGATAGAGTCAAACTGGCCTCAAAGCCAAGATTTAGATAATGGAAGTGTCTGTCATCTCCAACTCTGTCTTTATAAAATCACTGAGCCAATCTTTCCAATTAAATTACATATCTACGAGTAAAATGCTTACTGAGTGGTTCTACCCCTTCTGTTGTCTTTTCTCCAGGAGAATCCACCCCCGGGTAGCTACGAAGTCAGCAAGTCCTACGACATCAGTCAAGGGAAGAAAGAGCCCGCCATCCCCAGGACCGACACAGGCAAGCGCAAGAAGGGCTCCTTCCTATCCTCGTCGACCCGCTTTGCCCCACCGAGGGACGTCTTGTTGGAGAAGCCGGACATCCACAACCCAGGTAGGAAACGTTGGCAGTCTGAGCCAATTTTGTAAATGGATATTCCAAATATTCAGCCTTTCATTCGATCAAATATTCACTTGTACCAAATTGCCACAAAAGCAGAAACAACATGTGCATGTTTTTACAAAAGCCAAAAGGGAAAACTTAAGGAAAATTATTTTTGGGGAATATGCAGCTGCCTTTTAGTTTACTCCTTAGACCTTGGAATACACTTCTTGAACCAAATGCTGGATTTTTTGTCTTTTTTTATTGATTTTCACATCTGAATATAAAACTTCAAAAACAGAAAAATTTGGATACTTGAGGGGTGCATTCCACCAAATGGTTGTATTCCTGTGATCCCACTGGATTTTTACAATAAGACATGACATAATCAGGAGGCGTCATAAAAATATTTCTATAAATCCCGAATTTTGGACTGATAGTTTCCAGTTCTGGGTATTTTTTTCACAAAAAGCCCCAAATTGTGGGCCTAAAATAGGGAATAGAGGATAGAGGCTGGCAGCTACATGCAGAAATGAGCGCTTAGTTTTACTACTGTATTGGGGGTATCTTCCTTTAAAGGCAAATGAAAAAAGATTTTCGTGGCTAACCCCCATGAAATTGAAACAAAAAGTGATCTTCTGGCCATAATCTTGAATTTCCAGTAAAAAAAAATGGAGGCCAACCTCTTCACGAGAGTCAACATGTGGTGCTATTTCGGTCCAATTTTGCACTGTTTTCTGTGGGCACGTATTTGGTGTAGTGCAACCTGATCATCGAATATCTGAATACATGTATTCTGATAACTGGTCACTGGCACAACCCCGATTGACAGACTTTGTTACCACCGCTCACTGAGCTTATGAAGGGTCTCTGCCGTGAATTTTTCTCTAACCCACACATTTCATGCATGTTCCTTTTGGGAGGGAGGCTAAATGTACAAAAAGCAGTTTGACAGCCCTTTCCAGTTTAAGTTCTCTTTCTCAACCATCTACAACGGTCAGAGCTTTGTCTTGAAAACTGGAGGCGCTGTGACTGTGATGGGATTCTGGGAAGAATGGTTTCACTTAGGGATCTTCTGTTAAACTGCGAACCCCAAAGTTGCTCGTTGAAACTTTTTTGCAATGTTTCTGGAGGTCGTAGGTTCCAATCATTCTCCAGACACAACTGAAGATTCACTGATGTAACTCTTCAATCTTTGCTTTGATGTACGTGACAGGACCTGGCACTTACAATCCAGACTCCATAGAAGAAGCCAAGAATGGACTGATGGTGACCCGAGACAAACGCTTCAAGGAGAAGAGGAACGAATATCCAGGGCCGGGCACTTACGAGGTGAGTGTGAGAGACCAGATCTGAGGCAAAAAAGTAAAAAACCTCCTTCCCTGCCCTGTCTACCCCCACAAAAAAAGCAAAATAAGATTGTACCCGGGGTTTAGATTGGTAAATTGGGATAGCAAGCATTGTTCCTCTGAAGGCTTGAGGACTGTCAGTTGAAAGACCCAGTAGAAGACACATCTTCAGTGGATTTGATTTAGTCCGTTTTCCCGTCCTCAGTTCTGTATCTGTGTTGGTTTTGGGGTGTCAGTTGTGCTAGCTCAGTTACCCCACCTGAGATTTTTCGTCCCGTGCAATATCATTGTCAGCCATAGAAGAAATAAACAAACCTCAAAACACCAAAAATGTCAAGTATTCATGAACTGTTTGGAGAAATTTTTGTTTGGATCTGTCAGAAAATGTTGCAAACTTAGGAGCTTGAGAGGAATCGAGAACAGATACACAGCCAAGACTTGAAACACAGATCTCCCAAAAGGTTCAAAGTACTGCTTCAAGAGCCTTGTCTTGATTTCTACAAAAACTCAAATTAAATATCAGACATAAATTAAAATATCAGTCAAAACTATTAGACAGGTAATAACAGTTTGGTCAATAACTTTTGGAACATTTTTTCTTGTTTTTTGTTTCCACAGTTGAGTCCCCTGCTCCAAGACACCGTGCTCAAGGGAACCTTCAACGCGACCCTCAACAATCCGGTGGCCCCACAGGCCGAGATCTCCAGGACCAATTCCGTCATGCAGAAACAAGCATTCGTCCTGGGCGTCTAATGGCGGTGCCATTGTTTTTTTTAAATTGCTTTGCAGCTTTTCCCTAACTGCTACATTGCAAGCAGTAGTTGTCAAAAGCTTGTCAGACATTGCCTCAAGGAATTTGCAGTGCGCTGGGGGAAGGATACAGTTTAGCTGCGATCACAAGGACAAAGGGGGGGGCTGTTAATGAACACCGTTTTAGTTTCTCTTTAATCCTCAGTTGTTTCACCGTTTAATACAACCACAAAACAGAAGTCTTGGATTTGCCTTCTTTGGGCATTTAAGGCTGAGTTTGGGCGGCCTGTTCTCGTATGTTCGTGGACAGCTCAATTTGTTGTTCATGGGCGGGCTGCTCAAATGCCAGGAACATACAACCAGTTACCATTGGTACTGGTAGGCCTAATAAGTGGCAAGCAACATGCAACTTGGTGGCATCCATGTATGTTTTTCGAAGGTTAATGTTTAGATAATTGGGCTGAAGTACTTTTTTATTTAAAAAGAAACATTCGTTTCCGTGTTACAGAAAATTATTAATGTTAATTTTGCAAAACTTCCCATTGTCTACAGCTTTGTAATCCATCTCGCATACTTGTGGCTGTTCAAATATAAAAATGTCCATGAGGTTTTTCGTATGTTCCTCTAAAACCCCGAGGAGGAGGTGGTGTGTGTCCTGTTCCGAGAACAGCATTCTTGGGTCATGTTCCCACCATTTGAACACGAGAAGAAGCAACCCGTGTCAAGGACAGGCCACTCAAACTCGACCTAGAGTGCACCAGACAGCAGGATTTGGTGTCTTTATAAAAAAAAAAAATATTTTCCGAGGGAGGATGTCCCTGGACCCCCTTGTCTGGGGATCTCAATCCTCAACCATTGTATTTCAATCCCCCCCTTTCTATCAATCTGGGTTCACTCATAGCCAAGCACCTAAGCCAAGGCTATCTGCATTATACTTGGTATAGGCAAATTAATTCTATATGGTCCAGACCACAAATTCCAATCAGTATGGGTGGATAACAGTTAACAAAATGATCATAGACTTCCAAACCATTAAGTCTGTCTGCTTTGATCTGTTCATTCTACATTTTTCTTTGTCAAAGTCGCGTTGATTGTCAAGGAATAAATTCTTTAATATTCCATTGCAGTTCAAGGTTTTGTACCTTTTAAATTATAAATACAAATGAGTTGTATTCTAGCTTGTTCACGTGATGAAATACCGGAGAGGATATCGCCGTCTCCGTCCACAAACATACAATTTTGCAGTAAAATATTAATGAAAATATAAATCATGATATTTTGCATGGATTCTTTGAGTGATTACCTGGAATGTCTTCCTTGGGGTTTGAAAACTGTTTCCGTCCATAAAGATTCAGACAGTTGAAACAAAGTATTTAACATTATAAGCTGACATTAAAGTGACTTGTAAATAAAAATATGAAATTTAAAAGTATTTAGTTATATTTGTATTGTGTATTTCTGAAGACGTCGAACTTAACTTGGTTACATGGATATCAGTGATCAGTTTTGAACAGACTTGCAGGATTTAACCCTAAAAGAGTCGCGCCCCGGAGGAGGGCATCTCACAGCAGAAGGGGGGGGGGTAAATTCCACCCCCCCGAACTTGAAACTTTGCATGCATGTCAAAAGTACATCAGTTCAAATGTGACGTTTCAATTCAGTATGACGTAGAGTTCTGGTGGTCAGGTCATTTCATTCAGTACACTGTAAATGGTCACGCGTGTTTACCGACGCGTGCCTTGAGCACGTCAATGGGAAAACCATACCCTCTTAATTGGCTGACCCGTCTCGGAAAAATGCGTGTTGCGCGAGAACGGCAAGTCCGATTTTCACAGTGTAAAGATGACTGCAGTGTGTTACTTAAGAATCCCCAAAAGCTGTCAGCGATGACACTGGAAAAAATGTGGAGGGAGAGTGGATTCCTTTCAGGATTAAGTTGTGAATGGGGAGTTTTATTTATGGGAGGAGCGTGCAATATTTCGAGGAGGAAGGGAATGGGTTAGCCTGCGATTCTTCCACGAAGTTTGAGATGTCTTGGCTTGAAAGGAATCGAATAGTGCCACCTCCCTTCAAAAGTGAACGGCGCTTTACGTTATGCAACTTCTTTTAGAATTTGATTGCACATGAAAACCATAGCACCGTGCAATCTTATTAAACCTCTTTGCAACTTAAAACATATTTTTTCGCAGGAAAGATATTGTTCTTCAGTACTTGGTGCATCATTGATGGGCGTTAGGATTTCCGTTTGTCTTTGCAGCCAACATTTCAGGAATTATAAAACCGTGTAACTGAAGATCAGGTTCCCAAACGACGCATCTTGTACCGCGGGTAGGAGGACGAACAGCTTAACGCCACGCTCATTCCACAAGGAGTGCTCTGTATGTAGTGGACTTGGGGAAACTTAAATTCCTTCCTTAACTGAAACAGAAAATGTTCTCGTTCCCAACTACCCGAGCTTCTTTGGGGTTAAAATCACGATATTTTCTTGTATTTTCTCCCTGTGGTACTTCTCTGCAGGTGGCATGACGGTGCGTGATCTCGGGAGAATTTGGAACTTGCCGAATTAAACTGGGGCACTAAACTTCCCCATGGTGGTGCAAAACTGAAAGTGCACATTACCCTAGCTTTGGCAAGTGGTCACGTGTGTTCTGTTCTAAAGATTTGTCATGTAGCAAGCCTAGGACCAGGCTAGCTCGTGAGCAGACGGACGCGAGGTGCAACATTTTGCGCCCACTCTGTTTGCAAACCACCGCAGTTATCGGGACACGTACCGCCATTTAAATACCAGCTGGTCAAACATGTCAACGACGAATCTTCAAAATATTCGATCTTTTGTATTTACACGAAGAAAGCTCAATAATATAACCTAACGCAGTGCAACTGGAAAGTGTTCAATCTCAGGCGAATCATCAACTGCTGCCAAAGAAAGTAAGAATTCTAGCTGGGCTGTTTCCTGTCGGATTCTACCATGCATTGGTCGTCGCTAGACCATTTTAATGGGGGGAGGCGAGTACCGCATGAAATTTGCTGACGGACCGTCATACAAAACGAGTATACTGTATCCCCTGTCCTTTCATCTTCATTCTCCGTTCTTGGGTGTTTTCTTTTGTTTTGCCGACAGAGCATGATTTTGCCGACAAGACTAACCCAACGGGGGGACACCCCCCCCCCAGCGACGCCCGTGCATGAAAGAGTCGTTGTCACAAACAGACGGGATTACACTTCCCACAATGCTTATCGAAAAAAAGACGAAATGTGTATCATGCATAAAAGACCGCGAAATTCCGGAGATTGCAGACCACTGGCGTGATCGGTTCGAACGCACCACCGCGGCAATTCATGTATTAATTATTACAGTGAGAATGTTGTTGTGGACAGACTTAAGTTGAAGAATCGAGTGAAGCATGGAGCTATTAAGGTGCCGAGGTTTTCGTGGGATATTCTACTAGATTTTTCAAATGGATATCGCATGGTCGACCATTCCTTCGTGACTATTTGTCGGTATGCCATAGGCATAGCGATGCTCAGTGGTGCAACTGAACGTGCCGAATCAATGAAGGTAAGATATTCACTGTTTACTACATTACGAATAGGAGAGAGCAGTGTTTCACTATCTAACAATTGTTAGATAATGAAACACCAAGTAAGTAAGCCCTACATGTCAACAGTGGTAGACTGGATAAGGACCGTTCGTGGCATTCTATTGTGTAGGCCTTGGACCACCAAGTGAAACTACCGTTTCTGTCACACCATTTCTTTGCCAGTTACTTTTTCAATAGACCATATTTCGAGACAAAATTCAGGTTTTCATTTGAGACATCAAGTAGGGCCCTACACAGTAGACAAGAGTAGGCCTATAGGCCCCACACGTCACGTAGGGATATTTGTTTTGATGTCATAGGCCTTTACGTGTTGGTGCACGCCCTGACGTTCCGCACTTTGATTTTTCGCCTGTGGTGCCCTGCAAGAGCAATAATATTTACCACAAACTTCATAATAAGCTAAATTTCATCAAGCTCGCAACATTTCCGGTCATAAATCTTTCAGAGGTTAGCCTACATCCAGCGTAGCCTACCCGCTACAATGAAATTATCTTTTGGCCCGATTCCCTTACAGTGCTCAATGAACTTTTGTAACCCCCCCCCAAAAAAAATTACAAACTTGTGGGTGTAGTTGCAAGTAAGTGAGTGGAGGTAATAACAATTCATCAAAATTAAATTACTGTCGGATATAGGCCTACTGAGATTAGTTCAAGTGTGCCACGTTTGGGAACACTCAGCTAGCTGAGTTTTTGCCTAATTTCCGGACACCATTTTGAATTTCGCACCAAGTTAATTTTCATAACACTGAAATTGGCCACAAAGGTTCAACAGCATTTATTATGAAGGTAACAGTACCGTCCAGTATTTAACTGAATGAAACTGAAGTTTTTCAACAAAGAGGTTTTGAAAAAAAATCCCGGTGACACGGCTACTTCTGTTGAGACCGCAAACTGATTTAGCGCCCTCTGTTGTCCCAACTCATATCGCCGGCATTATTCGTCAAACTGCCGAAACACTGAAGAAGCCTTTTAAGTCAAGAGAATTGAAGTAAAGTTCGTGATGTAGTAAAACTGGAGGGGTTTTCAAAAGTGAAGTTCTGGTCATTACAGACAAAGCAAAATCAAGAATCATCTTTTGATGATGCACCGCGCACCGTCCCGGCCTTGCGTTTACTTTAACGATCGAAATCATCAGCAAACTCGCAGAGATATGGTAAACTGATCTGAACCGTGGAGCCGCTCTGTCCACCATCTCGGCTGTCCAATTTCCCCCCCAGAGGCTTCTCGAAGATTCTAATCATTCTCGAAAAGGGGGGGGGTGATAAGGGACGGAGAGAGGGAGAAGACGGTGCCTGGAGGTGGGCAAGAGCCCCCGCGTGAACGTCTCGAGTTTCCGTCCTCTGTTTCCGTTCTGCTCCCGCTGTCCGGTCCATCCACTGAGCTGTACAGCTCCGCGCAGTTGTGATCGCGAGGGTGCCGCCGAGACCGTTTCGGCCCGGGAGTCGATGACCGGTTGATTGCCTCATTGACTGGGGCTTGAGTCTTGAAGTTGGACATCTAAATCAATGCGGATTGATCCGTTTTTAGTACATAGAAGGTAACGGTAGGCCCCAGTCCTACAACGGACATAGTTACCTGACAGCCCGAGTTGTGTAGAATTTGTATTGAATCTTAGGAATCACAAGATTTAATATCACAGGTGACATTTAAAAGAGCAACCCATGGTTAGTGGACACAATATCTTAGTGATATTACAGTCTTGTTGAGTATCTTGGGCGTTTTAGTTGATATTAAAGAGAAGTGTTCTCACAGGAAATGAAATGAGCTATTAAACTTCAAGCCTGCCCTCTATCTTCAGAGAGGAATTTTGCAGGTATGGATAGCGCTGGTCGTACGTTAAGTAAAAGTGGACGGTTTGGAGATCCCCAAGTCACAAATCACTGGGTCTGTGTCCGTGTTCTATAATCTATCCACCATCCAACCCAGGCAACAAGTTCCCAAGGATCGTGGGCCGCTTTGCTGGTAAAGGAGAAAATAATGATGAGGGTGCCAGGCTTGTTTCCTCGGCTCCGGAGAAGCGCACGATTCGCCCACCGATTATTCGCAATGAACCCCGGCGGGCCTGCCCCCAAAAGACTGTCATCCTACCGGCCTGTTTGTAAGCATCAACGTCCAGACAAATCCCGTCCTCAATCAGTCGTGTTCCCGCCCCAGCTGTTTGTGCAGTCGTCCACTATTTGCTGCTACGAAAAAAAAAAAATCCAATACGAGCAACACGATGTTCAATTCCGCGTCCGACTCATTCGTCGGCTCGCCCAGGCGATCATCGTGTCCTCTTCCTATTATGAAGCCGCTCTGGGGATATGTACCGTACACACCAAAGCCAGGACCGTGAACCAGACAGCATCCAACCCCGGGCCATCCTAGCTCAATTAGGCGCATTCCTGTACTCGGCAGCAACCCGTCTCTGCGCGAACATGATCCTTGTCAGCGTCTGGAACATTTCACCCTTCTGTCCCAGACCGCGATCGAGCCGGTATGCATTTCACGCGGATCATTACTGTAACATTCTTGTCATCTCGGCAACAATTTTTTCCTCCGGTGTTCCCGCCAACCGCAGCGGGTTCGATTGTGAGGCGCAGTCGGTGTTGGTTAGAGTTGGAGAACTTGATGTCGTTGGTTAGGTTGTGGATTCACCACTCGGTCGGGGTTTGTCCGGCCTCGCTAGCGTGGACACTCACAATGCCGGTTTCCATATATGAGTATATTGAAAAGCGTTAAGAGTGGCACGCGATAATGTTCTGTATTCGTGAGGGTATGAATTTTCCCAATCCTAAACAAAATACCCAAATTGCATCAAGGTAGAAAAAGGAAGCTCAATATTAAACAGT